AACAATGCCACATTATGCAGTATTCATTTTTGAAAGTTTAGAATAAGCGATGCTCTGGGGGGGAAGGGGAGGAGGGGGCGGCGCAGGGTGGAAGTTTTGCCTAGGGCACAAAATATCCTTGCACTGACAGGAGCAGCACAGCGGGGAGGGGGCAGGCACTACGCAGGGTGCAGCAGGCGGGGAGCAGGGAGGAGAGAAGGATAGGCACTATGCGGGGCGCAGCACAGGCGGGGGGGGCACTACACGGGGCGCGGCACAGCAAACGGGAGCAGGGAGGGGGCGGCACTACGCGGGCGCGGCACAGCGGGGAGGGGGAGGCACTACAGGGCCCAGCACGCTGGGGCAGGGAGGGGGCGGCACTACGCGGGCGCGGCACAGCCAGCGGGGGCCAAGCACTGTAAGGACTCTGGGAAGCGGCTCAGGGGCCGGGGAGGGCTCGGGAGCGCGGGATCATGGCTGCGGGCAGGGCGTTCACTGGCTCCGGAAGAGAAGGGGGAGACCCTGCTTCTCCTGCTGTCAGCTGAACCACTGCCAGTAGCGGCCCCGCCGTACCAGCCAGTTCGGCCCCTGTCCTGGGAGGGAGCGGAGATAAAAATACCCCGGGGCAAAACGCGGGCCCAGCCCGCGTAGGCACCGCTGGGATTCGAACCCAGGATCTCCTGTTTACTAGACAGGCGCTTTAACCAACTAAGCCACGGCGCCGGCTGCTCCGTTATGTGGCGAGGCGGTCCCATCCATGGCTCGGCAGCCAGGCGGTTGCTCTCCTCGCACAAAAGGAGGTGGCTGCAAGCACCGCGTGGGGCTGGGGTGCAAGCGACACCCCCTAGCACCCTAGCACGCTGCATAATACTGCGCTCACTCCCGTCTCCCACGCCTCATCTGCAATCCCCACCAGAGCCGGGGGGTGAGAGCTCATACTGCTCTCAGACCCTCTCCTAGCCTGCCACGCAGGCAGAGGCGCCCACTCCAACCCTCACAGAGCGGGGGGAGGGGTCCACCTTGCCCTTGCCACCCAGGGCTGGCGTAAACTTAAAATGTAGGTCGCCCTAGCTAGGGCACTCAGGGGGGTGGAAAATCCAAGGCCCGAGCACTGTAGCCTGCCAGGGTTTCGTGTGGCTGTCCAGCTTTGAACTGCACCTTCAAGCCACTGGCCTGGCTGAAACAGAACATTTCCCACCTTCAGGGCCACCCGGGGAGGAGAGGAGACAAAGGGGGCAGTTGCTTTGGCCTTCCCCATGTGCCAGCTTGCAACGTGTCACAGTGCCAGTCAGGCTTGGTCCAGCTGCCCCCCATGTCCGGAGCAGCAGCCGGACCAAATTTGAGTGGTGTTGCGATCCCATGTGCTATGTCTCACCGCCAATCAAATTTGGGCTGGCCACCAGCACTCCATCTCTGGCTTGGGGCAGACTGGCCAAACCTTCGTGGCACTGCGTACCACTTTAGCCACTTGAAATGGTGGGAGGTATGCCAAGCCCATAGCTATGCCAACCTAAACCCCAGCATAGATGCAGCAAGGTTGATGGAAGAATGTTTCCATTGACCGAGACTGTCACTTGGAGAACTGGTGTTCCAACAGTGACAGAAAAAGCACTTTTGTTGCTGTAGACTGCATCTATGCTTAGGGTTGCCGGTTTTCGACCAGAACATCCGGTCGGAAAGGGGACCCTGACGGCTCTGGTCAGCACCGATAAAAGTCCAGTTGGCACAGGACTGGCAGGCTCCCTACCCGGTTCTGTACGGCTCCTGGGAAGCAGCCGGTGTAGTACTGGCATATCCCTCCGGCTCCTAGGTGTAGGGGCAGTGCTCGGGATGGGGGCAGTGCGCAGAGCCCCCATGGCCTCATTCCACGCCTAGGAGCTGGAGGGACATGCCAGCCACTTCCCGGCAGCCGAGGTAAGCGCCACCCAGAGCTCTCACCCCTCACCCCCGCCTGCAGCCCAACTCCCTTCCCCAACCCTGAACCCCCTCACACACCCAAACTCCCTCCTAGAGCCCACACCCCAACTCCCTCCCGGAAATGGTGTCCCACCCTGTCCCACACCCCAACCCCCTCCTGCACCCGAAACCTTTCGGGCCCCAGACCAGTGAAAGTGAGTGAGGGAGGGAGGGAGGGTGGAGGAGACCAAGCGACAGAGGGAGGGGGGATGGAGGGAGCGGAAAAGGGGCGGGGCAAAAGGTTTCAGTTTTTTGCAATTAGAAAGTTGGCAACCCTATCTATGCTACGCGGATATGGTAGCATAGCTACGGCGCCAGAGTCAGAATAGCAGGTTGGCAGGTCGCAGACATAGGCTATGTCTACACTACCGCAGTAAGTCGACCTATGCTATGCAACTCCAGTCGACATACCTTAGGTCAAGTTACCACAGGGTCTACATCGCGAGGGGTCTCTCCCGTCAACTTACCTTACTCTTCTCATCGGGTGTAGAGTATAGGGGTCGACTGAAGAGTGATCTGCAGTCGATTTGGAGGGTCTTTACTAGACCCGCTAAATCAACCGCTGGTGGATCGATCTCAGAGCATCAATCCCCGCTGCAGTGTAGACCTGCCCATACATGCAACTCATTGAGATGCACGAGAGTGTGTGCACGTGCATACACTTTAGCATTGGCACAATACATGTTAAAATTGCCAGGGCAAACTTATTTAGGCATGTACAATTATACATGCTTAAGTTCCAAAACTTCCTAAGTACACATTCATACGGAGTCCCAATGGCACAGAGTCCATGCTAGCAGATCTCTGTAGAGAATCAGGACCCTAACATTTTCATTTAATTTTGTTTTAGACATTTGTAGTAAGTCATAATACCACTGATTATGTATTTGTGGGTATATGTATATTGTGATTTTTATATACACACACTATCCTAATGACTGAAAAGATCACACATTATACACAAATTTATATAATTTAAATGATTTTTTTCTAATTTAGATCTAAGTCTGATAAGCCCTCCACATGCAGAATGTCCACAGACATCAGTGGGAATTCCTCTCTCAGAGAGCTAAGACTTTACACTGTTAGCTTCTTGGGGGCAAACACTCTGTTTTGAGCTATGCCAAGCAAAGTGATTACTTTAAAAATAGAAATAACAGCTAATGTATCTGTGGCTCCACTCCTGCAATCAGATCTGGAGGGGTGTAAAGGTCCTCCCCTTATGGATCTGATTACAAAATTGGGGTATAATTACGGTTTCCTCAACAGTAAAGCCAGGGATCACTTTGCCAATTTACCAGGAATCCATGGGCCATACTTAGAACCAAATCATGGCTGTCAGTATGCCTTTTCTTCTCCTATAGCAGACCCATAAGAGCAGACATCATTACCTGCAGAGAAGTGCAAAAACATAGGAAGGCAGGCAGCAGTGCAGATGGTGCTAGTAGCTTAAGAGGGACAGAGCACATAGTTTTGGGTAGTTCTTGAGGCTTTATTCATCAAACAAGTTTGTTATGTAACTCTTGAATGCCCTATCTCAGGGGTGGCCAACCTGTGGCTCTGGAGCCACATGTGGCTCTTCAGAAGTTAATATGCAGCTCCTTGTATAGGCACAGACTCTGGGGCTGGAGCTACAGACGCCAACATTCCAATGGGCCAAGGGGTGCTCACTGCTCAACCCCTGGCTCTGCCACAGGCCCTGCCTCCACTCCACCCCTTCCCCTGAGCTTGCTATGCCCTCCCCCCACCCCAGAGCCTCAAGCACACCGGAAAATAGCTGACCGGGAGGTGCAGGGAGGGAGGGGAAGGTGCTGATCAGTAGGGCTGCCATTGGGTGGGAGGCACTGGGAGTGGGCGAGGGAGCTGATGGGAGGCTGCTGACTATTACTAAAAAAAACAGGAGTACTTGTGGCACCCTAGAGACTAACAAATTTATTAGAGCATAAGCTTTCGTGGACTACAGCCCACTTCTTCAGATGCATAGAAGTGGGCTGTAGTCCACGAAAGCTTATGCTCAAATAAATGTGTTAGTCTCTAAGGTGCCACAAGTACTCCTGTTCTTTTTGCGGATACAGACTAACACGGCTGCTACTCTGAAACCTGACTATTACTGTGGCTCTTTGGCAATGTACATTGTTAAATTCTGGCTCCTTCTCAAGCTCAGGTTGGCCACTCCTGCCCTATCTAATAAATCAGGCCAAAAATAACCTATATATTCCCAAGCACTAAACTGGTTTGAATGGTCTGTGATAGGGGTTCTCAACCTTTTTCTAATCTGAAACTCCCTCCCCCACCATACTATAAAAACTCCAGTGGGGCACCTGGCATTGGCCACTGTCCGAAGACAGGATACTGGTCTAGATGGACCTTTGGTCTGACCCGGTATGGCTGTTCTTATGGTCTTATGTTCACTGCCCAGCTGTGTTACAACTGTTTTTCTGCATATAAAAGCCACGGCCAGCATCAGGGGGTAGCAAGCAGAGTAAATGCCCAGGACCCCATGGCACAGGGACCCCTGCAAAGCTACATTTCTCAGGCTTCGGCTTCAGCCCCATGCAGTGGGGCTTCGGCTTTCTGCCTTAGGCCCTAGCAAGTTTAAATTTTGGCCCTGCTTGGTGGACCCCCTGAAACCTGCTTGCGGCCCCCCAGGGAGCTCCGGATGCCTGGTTGAGAACCACTGGTCTATGATAGAGTTGTCAAAGTTCCTGTTCTCTCTCTTCTTTGTCTTGATCTATCAAATTGATTCTGTTAAATAAGCATTAAAATACAAACTGATTTAATATGTCTTATGTTTGCTACAGCAAAGTATCAGTTTGATTTGTCTTTCTTAATTTGGGAAATAAAAGACCCTTTCAAAAGAAAGTTTCCACCTATTTGTCTCTGAATGTCACACTATTTATGCAGAAAAACCCTCTAGAGAGTAATTGGCTTTGCTCCCTCAATGGAAAATCTTAGAGGTTTGATTTTTCAGCTAAATGGGACAGGAAGAGCAAATAAAGGACAATCCCAATCAAATATTATAAGAATATTATTTAATTAAACAGATTATTTTCAAACATGCAGAAATTAGTTCATTATTCTTATTCATATTTAAGGGTAATTACTCCAACAGTAAGACAGGCACATCTTATGTATTCTGCAAAAATAATTCCAGCACCATACAAACTGCATTTTTTTCAACTTTTTACTGTAAACCAACAACATTTAATAAAGAGAACAGTGTCTTAGGATATGTTACAACTTGACCTCATGTTTTATTCAAAGCAGTAAAACATACTATATCTTAAAAAATCATTTTCTTTTCACCTTGGAGTCAAGTGCAACTGTAGCTACCAAGGCTACACAATTCACATGGCTTAAAAAAGAAAGACCCATAATAGATTTTGATTTATTTTATAGCTTAACTACATACCAGACTGGTACAATATATTTTTCTCCTTATAAATCCCTTTTAAAATAATATAATCTGCTGAAACATGTTTTTGATGAATGAGGCCCCCACATCTTGAAACACTAATCTCACATTAATTGACATCCTCACATAGCTAGTGAAGAGGTATAGACTTTTAGGGACCAATCTTGAGTGGTGCTGGAATTGAGAGTGCACAGCACCTTGCAGGATTGGGTCCTGAATATACAGGACTAGTTTGCCATATATCATGTCAAACACAAATAATAATGTATATCTGTGATTGAAAGTTCCGAGAAACATTTTGTAGGGGGATGTTAGAAGCAAGATAATACAAACTTCATGGTCCAAATGCCCTCTCCACATTCAAATTTCAAAACCCTTTAGCATTTTCAATTGATGCAAATGTTTTTCATATTTCCAGTATACTCCACTCCAGAGTAGAAGAAGGTGGCTTTATTTTACACAATTTAAGGACAACTGTCAGCAAGTTACATAGTCACATATTTTCTTTGTTACAACAACCTTTATTAAGTGTGCGTACTTAAACGGGATGGATGTAATTTTATTTTCTTGTACAATATGAATAGATTTAAAATCTTAGGACTTGATCCGGTCATCTGTTACACTGTGAAACTCAGTATGTATATTGCACAGGTGTACAATGAATCAGCAGATTTTTTTTTTTTAACATAGATGTCACTGTATGGCACAGAAGTATGGAGGAAGTCCTTGCCTCTGTATGTACATGCAATATAATATACTGATAATCACAATTATGTATAGGCATATGCTTAAAAACTCAAATGTATTTGCACAAATAGTCTGTTGGGAAGAATTTAGAGATCAGGTGCTACAATAGGTGGTAATGGCAAAATATTTCTCGAAGGAGAAGCCAGTCGACAGAATACACACTTGGTGACCACTTCAGAGTCATCACACTGTAGGAGTGAGAAAGGTTTTTCACATTCTTCACACTGATGTAAATATAACATTAAAAACAACAAAAATGATGTTAGTTAATCATATGTGCCAGACATGAATCATTTTACCACTGATGCTCAACTATAAATATGCAGCCCTGATTTTCAGAGGTGCTGAGTACTTGCAGCTCTTATTAGCTTCAAATGGAGCAGTGGGTGCTCTATACTCTTGAAAATCAGGCCCATCCAGTCATTGTGCAGGAAGCTTTCCTAAATTTACTAGTATATTTTTGTAGTTTGTGATATTGCCTTAGCAAATTTATTATTATTTTAGTTTATACAGCACTGGAGGTGTGATGAGTTTTACAAAACAAATAAAGATTGTTTCCCTTTCCCAATCTCACATGGTTTAGAACAAATTGTTTAATTGGAATTAAAACTGAATTGTCATCAAAATTTCTCTTTTCCCCCCTCCTCTTAACATCTGGTAGTGATTTCATACCTTTTCTCTTCCTTCTTTGGTAAACGCAATATTTTTTATGTTTACTGGGGAGCCAAAAATGTCCATGAGTGCATGAATACCACTGCCTGAGGCCAGCAGTGTTGTATGCAGCCAATCATACTACTAAGCATCAGGTTTGGAAGCCAAAGGATTTTTTTATTTTAAAAATGTTTTATTTGGTTTGCTATTGTTTCTAAAAATACAACGGCATCTGTACGTGGACTTCTGCATCCTTACCAAATACTTTTTTTTAAAAGAAAGAAAAGCATTGATGCATTTGTTTTGAAATTCCCTCTTCTCCCTCCCCAACTCATATATAAATAATTACATAAATTTTGCGAAGAGAGAAAAATAAGGGAAATCAATTTTTGAACCCAGCAATCTTGTTGACAAGGTCTCTTCAACCATTCATATTTTGATTTTGAACAGAGTGAGGTGTAACTTGGAGACTAAAAGGACAGACCCATCAGCCGTAACACCACATGGTGCTTACTTGAGCTATTTTTGAGCCTCTTGTATTTCTGCTTTCTATTGCCGCAGGAACATGATCAGCCTTTTCAATGTTCCATAATCTCAAAGTAGCATCCTAAAAATCAGAAACTACAATTAGGACATGTATTTACATGTTATCACTGGTCAAGCACCACAGCAAGCTCCAGTACAGTATTTGTCCAATGGATAAAGGCCTCATCAGTTGCACAAAGCACAAATAACTACTTATAAGACAGGAAAATTTCTTGGATAAGAGATGGGCATTATTTTTAAAACTGTCATCACTTTGAAAACAAAAAATTGTTTTACTTACCACAAATATTTAGTAATCTTAGAAACTGAGTTTATTGGTCACATCAAACATGTACACCTACATATTGTGACAAAGTTCCTCCTCTACCTTGGTGGGTCCTGCGCTTATTGGTGGATTTGCTCCCTTCACAGATTCACCCTGTGGGTCAGAAAACAGTCCAGAGACCTTCCCCTCTGGTAGAAGCTATAGTCCAAGTCAATTCCTCCTGTGTTTGATCAGGAGTTGGGAGATATGGGGGGAACCCGGGCCCGCCCTCTACTCCGGGTTCCAGCCCAGGGCCCTGTGGACTGCAGCTGTTTAGAGTGCCTCCTGGTACAGTTGCACGACACCTACAACTCCCTGGGCTACTTCCCCATGGCCTCCTCCCACCACCTTCTTTGTCCTCACCACCGGACCTTCCTCCTGATGTCTGATAACACTTGTACTTCTCCATCCTCCAGCAATACGCCTACTCACTCTCAGCTTCTTGCACACCTCTTGCTCCCAGTTCCTCACACACTCTTCCTCTCCTCTGGCTCCCCCTGGCTTGACTGGAGTGAGCCCTTTTATAGCATCAGAGGGGCCTTAATTAGAGTCAGGTGCTTAACTGCCTCACCTGACTCTTAGCAGATTAATTGGAGTCAGGTGGTCTATTAGCCTGGCGCAGCCCCTGCTCTGGTCACTCAGGGAACAGAAAACTACTTATCCAGTGGCCAGTATATCTCCCTTCTGCTACTCTGCTGTTCCCAACTGGTCTGGGTCTATCACAATATAAAATTCTTTTTAATATTTTCTGTAATTGCTTTTCAACTAATCATAAAACTACAAATGAAAGACTGTCTGAGTCAACTGTTACACAAAATTATAATTTTTCTAAAATAAATATTGAAATACATAGTGAAATCTGTGACCAAATTAGCTTCCTATACCACATCTGTAAGTTAGTTTGTTACCTTTGAGGAAGAAAGGATCCATTTCTTGTTGTTGCTAATTGCAACATCCATCACCCAGTCTCCATGGCCCTGGAGCAAAACAAATTGTAACTGTAGACCAAAAGTAAGAACTTTATTACTTTTATAATAAAGGAAATAGCTGTCTTCCCCACAAATCCACTCTGGCAGCCCTTCCTACAGTAAGCAAAATCTCTGTGCATGCTCACTCGTCCCTGGTCAGAAGAACAGCTGCTATCAGGTTAATCTTTGTCTGCACATACTTGACACGGCCTGATCCTCTATCCAGGATTTGTGTAACAGCAGCATCTCAGTTAGAATTGTAGTTCTGGTTGATGCAGTGCTGGCAGATAGTGTGGTAGTTATTTTTGGTTCCAGTCCTCCTTGTGTGTGTGTGCATGAGATTATTTGTTTGTGTGTTTTCCTTTCTACATTTTTAAATAATTTAGCTAAATATATATAGAGAGAGAGGGAGAGAGGGAGGGAAGAAGACAGGGAGAGAGTTGTTTTCTAGTGCACATAATGTAGAGCAGTTTGAAGATGTGGGTCAGATGGCAAGGGGGAGAGCTTGGAGGGCAGCCACCAGCCTTTCCCCACTTCAAGGGAAGGGAGATGATTCAGAAGGCAGGCAGTTGCATTGGGTGGATTGGTCCTGCTTGCTGCTGCACAGCTGATCACTGAGCATGCATGGAGATTTGTGAGAGCACCATTAGGTCTGCTACCACAAGAAGAGAATCAAGCTAAAAACAAAAATGAAGTAACCCACACCGTGAATTTATTAAAAATTAATAGAATTAATGAGAAAACTCCTTGAGTTCCAAAAAGGATGTTTTTCATTTTGATTGACAAACTTCACATATGAAAAGTATGCATTAACATTTATCAAAAAGAAACTAATATTTTCTAACATACAAGGAGAAAGGCAAAGACGTATTTAATAGGATATAGGGCAAATTTGCCATTTTAGAGTCATGTATTTCTTTGATGCAATCGGTTTTCATTTACAAAGCATGTTCACAAAGTCCTTGTTTCCCTGAACACAGTGGGTATCAAACAACAGGAGGCAGTTTCTTTGCTCAGAGTTCAACGCTTCTTTTCAGCTTGCACTCTACCCAATAAACTTCCTCTCCTTGCTTTCTTTCCCAGCAACATTTCCAGGGCTTCTCTTGCTGTTTGCTTGGCTTTTTGGCTGCTTTTCTCTGGCTGCTTCTGCCCACAGATGTGCACATCTACATCAAACAATATCCAGAGACCCACCCTTCTCCCCATACCCTCCTCCCACATAGCTCAGTTCCTGACTAGCCTTGCATTTGACCTGTGTTTTGGGGGTGGTGCTCCTATTGTTTCAACTACACCTCTACCCTGATATAATGCTGTCCTCGGGAGCCAAAAAATCTTACCGTGTTATAGGTGAAACCGTGTTATATCCAACTTGCTTTGATCCGCCAGAGTGCGCAGCCCCTCCCCCCCAACCCGGAGCACTGCTTTACCGCGTTATATCCGAATTCGTGTTATATCGGGTCACGTTATATCGGGGTAGAGGTGTATCTTACTCCAAAAAGGAGCTTAACTGCTCCTTAGATTTATCCTATGAATGGCAGCTATCACACCCACCAGCTTCAATGAATTTTTACCCAACCTCCATCAAACAAATATTATGGCCCAACTTTATGCATATTATGGCCGAACTTTACAAAATTGGATGTAAAATTACTATTATTGTGCATACAGTCATAGTACCTGCATGTGTAAATAATACAAGCACATCTTGCACACACAAATTTGAAAAGATGGGAGTATAAGTATGCCAGAGGTACAAAAAAATAGACTTACTGTCAACACCACTAATATCTCTAAATTCATTGCTAGGTTCTACTGAAAGGTTTTAAAACCTACATACATCAGACACTAATATCAGATACCTAAATAACATTGGAAGTGACTGACTTATGGAAGTTACTGTTATGATCTAGAATATGATTCAATATCAAAAGCAGTCTTTGTGGCGATGATAATCGGTGCTCTCAAGCCCTCTTCCACACACAGTCACTTGCAACAAGGATAATTCTTATATTAGATTCTGGGTTCAGAGTGAGTTCTTTAAAACCAAAGAGTCAGTTCCAAGTGAGATGAACAAAGAGTAGGACGGAAGAAACAAAATTCTGAAGATAAATGTTTTAGCTAAATGTCTTTTTCAGCAATGAAGATAGTTCACTGATGTTTTTTGTCTTCAGAATTTTATTAGATTTATAATACTGATCTTTTCTCATTTACAGTTCTAAAATGGGAACCCGAGTACAAGGAGGGCACCTGTAAGTTTCAGTCACTATCTCTGAGGCTTTTGAAAATGATACAGCTAACCATTCAAAATAAAACCTTAAACTCAGTTCTTGCACCAGCCAGCCAGCAAACTGCAGTGACCAGAGCAACAGATACCCTGAATCTCTCTGCCCTCCCACAGTAACTGTGCAGCTACTATATTCTGCACTTGCTACAAGCAATGAGTTTGTTTCTTTGGCAGTCAATGTACAGCACATGGCAGCAGATCAATCTTAATGTCACCAAAACTGGATTAAGGACATCATGTCAGAGCATGAAATTAAGAGCTGTACTCTTAAAGGTACAATCCATCATGTCCGTTAACATCTGATCATTTCAAGTCAATCATCAAATTTTAATGGCACATTTTGGAGGGCCTTTGAAAATTTGTACCATAAAGTCCTAAACTAACTAGCTCCCATGTATCATAATGTGCTTCCTCCACAGAGGTACCACCTTGTTGCCTCAGGTATGAGGCAGTCGTACTGTGTGTAGTGAATGAGGAACAAGGTCTAACACTGAGTGATGAGGATAAAGTAAATATCAGACAGCTGGGAGCTGCCTCATTTACGAAGCACCATCTATCCCGAACACTGAATAAGAGGGTGGTTGAGCATGTACCTGTAACTAAAGATGTATTATAATACATATGAACGTGGGGGCAGAGTTAAAGTTGAATGGACAACCTTAACTTTAGCATTTTCGGACTTTTGAGTGCATCTCCTTTGTGACCTTAGCATTTTTTTAATGTAGACCATTATATTATATGGATACATACATACAAAGGGGTATAGCATTTTTAAATTTATACACACACTGACCAGTCTCTTACTGGGGAAAAGTCATGATCTTCCAAGGTAAATATGCTGTTCTAGACAATGCAGTTACTAACACAGCTGATGCAGTCAGATAGAAATCTAGTAGTATGTTAATAACACACCTGACAAAGAAAATAGTCGGTAATTATAAAAATATATTGTCTCCAGGAAATTAAAGTCACATGCAGTACATGACAGATTCTTGTCTATGGGCTGGTCCCCACTTAGTCCGGACTTCGGACTAAGGTACGCAAATTACGCTACGATAAAAA